TAGCATGCCTACGAAATTTGCGAATTGATTTATATCAATCCTGTTTACTGGATTTATTGATTTCGTCTCGTGTTTTGGTGAGGAAATAAATTGTTAGCCTAGTTTGAGCTATATTTTTAATATATCGTATTTTCTATAAAAACCATGAACTGGTAGACTATCAGATAGATGACGATAGGATGCTAGAACATGTTTTTGAACCCCTCTTTATAGTGTAGACGATGATCGGTAACCTATGCTATGAAGTGGTTATTTATGAGAGGCGTAAATATTTTGTGCGTACCTAGTAGACACTATGCCGCCTGGGGCGAGGATCTGGTGTTGGCATGTAGGCCGGGAGAAATAATCCCTAGCGAAAGGCTGAGGGACACAGAGACAGGCATTGGGCCGGGAGGGAGTTATCTCTGGCTACGGGCACAGAGACTTAGGTGCAGGCATTGGGCCGGGAGTTATGTTTTATTCGGTGATCTTACTAGCAGCACACCGCGTTTACGAGACGATCTGTGAGACGATTCATGCTTTGGTTTTACGCGATGATATTCCGCGATATGGCTTTTGAGATATTTTTGGCATGCTAGGATTTTGATTTAAATCCATCACTTACTATGCTAGTAGTTTTCACTATTAAACTTTGGGGGTTAGTATGTTGATAATTGTTTTATTATTATATATATATATAAACTTGGTCCACTCACCTTTGTTTTGCGCCCCCATTCAGGACTTAGAATCAAGGCACCTAATCCCGGCGTGAAGACACTTCTGCAGCAGCATCTTCGGATCCTCTCGATGTAGGACCCATTTATTCATTAAATTTTATCTAAATTCCTTTTAGTGATTAGGTTTAGTTGTATGCTCCGAGCACGTTCCTAAAACTTTTAACTCATTGTATTTCAAATTTCTAACCCTTATTTATTTCTTATTCTTAGCTTTTGTATCAATTAATGGCTTTCGTCACCCCGGGTGTCGGCCAGCACGTGTCGGTCTTGGTATTCGGGGAATATCAGGGTCGGGGCGTGTCACGCCGCCTACTGAGCAACTGCCTCGTCGCGAGCATCACTCCTAACCCATTATTCATGTACCGAGGAGCAATCCTTTATTTTATAAAAGGGACTCTCGCACTTTCATTAAAGGGCATTGCCGCCAGCTGAGCAACCGTCTCGCCGCGAGCATCACTTTTAGCCCATCACTTATGTATTGAGGAGTGAGCCCTTATTCTATCTATAAAAGGGACTCCATCACCTTCAACGCCACAAGCCGAGCCAACCAAGACAAACATAAGCCACAAGATGAGCAGCCTCGCAGCATGTGCTACTTCTAGTTGGGCATCATTTCAGATTGAGCACCGCCTCATATCGAACATCAGTTCAAGACAACATCTAGTTACTTCGGCCCACACATGGACCGAATTTCAAATCTCCAGCCAAAAGACTCTCTTGACTGAAGACTTGGGGGACTACTGTTTATACCATATTTAGGGCCTCGTATTTAGATCTCGTACAAATACTCGGGGGACTTAAATGTAATTATGTGATAAAGGAAATGGCAAATATGTAATAAGTGAGGAGTCCTTATTCTATAAAAGGACCTCTCACTCTCACAATTGAGGGAGGCCAACTCTTAGGCCTGAAACCCTCTCACATCCCCTCTCACATCCCCTCTCATATTACAGAGGCTCTCTCTCTCACTTTTAAGAGAAATACAATACAACCAGTGTGGGCGTAGCCCAAACCTTGGGGTGAACCACGATACATCTTGTGTTATTTACATTTCATGTAAATTCACGGTCGGATTTAAGTTGTTCCAAAATCTCCGGTTTTGTGTATCACCATGTTGTAATTATTGGCTCATGTGATTGGATTGAATTACATGAAAAAAACTCTTTAAGTATTGTCATTTGCCTCGAGAAGTGAGAAGCGATGTTCGAAGAGTCCGCACAAATTAATTACAATTGGAATGGAAAGACAGGAGGAGAAATGATAAGGCCTTTTGTATGGCACAAGAAAAGGTTGTGCGAGGGACCTGTGGATGGCAACGATAACGAGCGTTGCGCTACGAAATACAAGGGAAGGGGAGGGGGTTAATTCCCTAATTTTTATTTTATTTTTTAATATAGGGGTTAATTTGTAAAGTACAAAAAAAAAGTTGGTTGATTTGGTTGCGCAATTTGAATCTAGTGCGCTCCAACGTTCAAACTGGAGAAGGATCCTCGTGATCATCAAACGGTCGCATTACATGTGAGGAAGCGAGATACAAGTTCCATTTACTCCCCGGGAGCCGACCTCACCTCTTTTGTTTTGTTTTGGTTACTATAAATAAGAGACGCAGACACTTGAGAGTTTCAGACATATTATGCCTCCTCCTCCAAACCAAATTATTACATGCGTATTCTCTCTCTCTCTCTCTCTCTCGCTCACTTTTTGTAATTCCATTTTTTTCATCATTCATCCTAGCTAGCTATTAAGTATTAATTAATTACATACATGCTGTCTAAGTGTCTACGGCAAGCAGGGCAAAGTCCCCTCCTCAAGCTCCTCCACCCTCCTCTCCGCTGCTACTGCTTGCTTTCCTGCTTTCCAGCTTTCACTTATTCTCTCACTTTTTCCTTTTAAATACATATATCATTGTTCACATTTTTTATGCTCCGACTTAGACATCCTCCTCCTCCCCCCAAAATGAGAATGCCGGTCCTCCTCTTCCTCCTCCTCACATGGAGATGGCGATGGAGATGGGTTCGTACTTCCAATTCCAACCTATCGTTGCTCATGTTTTTGTCAATCCTGCTGTGTTCTACATCCTCAGTGTCGTCGTCATCTCCGGCTGTTTGCTCAGAAGCAGATAGAGCCTCCCTTCTCAGCTTCAAATTCAAAATTTTCAAGGACACAACGCAAATGCTGTCTTCGTGGACGGGCAGAGACTGCTGCGCCGGAGGCTGGGAAGGTGTTGAGTGCAACCCAGGTGGTAGGGTTACTGTCTTGCAGTTGCAGCGCCCAGCTTCCGGACCTGATTACATGAAGGGCACTCTCTCCCCTTCTCTTGCCAACTTGAATTTCTTGGAGGTACTCGTTATCAGTGGGCTGAAACTAATTACAGGTCCAATTCCTCAGAGCTTCTCCAATCTCATCCACCTCACCCAACTCTCCCTCGAAGACAACTCCCTCGTTGGCCCCATTCCTTCCGGTCTAGGCCTTTTGTCCTCCCTCCAGAGCCTCTCCCTCAGCGGCAACCGTTTCAGCGGCCACATTCCCCCAAGCCTAGGCCATCTTCTCCATCTTCTCCAACTAGGTTTAGCAAGAAACTCCCTCACAGGTCCTATCCCACCCACCTTTCTAAATTTCCATGCTCTGCAGTACCTTGATTTCAGCTTCAATGCCTTGTCCGGCCCCATTCCAGATTTCGTAGGTCGCCAGCTGCAAAACCTTACTTACATTGATCTCTCCAATAACCAGTTATCCGGTCAGATGCCCATTTCCCTCTTCAGCTTGTCCAAGCTTTTGGACCTGTCCTTGAACCACAACCAACTGACTGGCATCATCCCTGTTCAGGTTGCCGGACTCAAATCTCTCACCACTCTTTCGTTGAGCGCCAATCGACTTACAGGACGTATTCCGGTATCCATTTCAAGATTAAACAACCTTTGGTACCTCAATTTATCCAGGAACGGGTTTTCAGATGCTCTGCCTCAGACCCTTGCCAGGGGCATTCCTTCTCTCTTGTCCATAGACTTGTCTTACAACAATCTCAGTTTAGAGAGCGTTCCATATTGGATCAGAAGCAGACAACTCAGACATGTTCATCTTGCTGGCTGTCAATTGAGAGGATCCCTCCCAACATTTACAATGCCTGATTCCTTGACCTCTATTGACCTCTCTCACAATCATTTTACCGGTGGAATCTCAGAGCTCCTCACCAACGTGACAAGCTTGCAGAGCCTCAATCTCTCCAACAACCAATTGAAGTCGAATCTTTCAGAAATCAAATTGCCCGACGCAATTTCTTCTGTTGATGTGCACTCAAATCAGCTCGTGGGATCTCTCTCGAGAATCTTAAACGATAGGACAAGCAGTTTTTTGGAGTTTTTGGATGTCTCCCATAACCAAATTTCAGGTGAAATTCCAGAGTTTAAGGCAGGCTTGAGGCTCAAAGTGCTCCACATGGGAGGCAACAAGATTTCCGGTCACATCCCCAATTCAGTTTCAAACCTGACTCAACTTGAAAGGTTTGATGTATCAAGGAACCAGATGACAGGCACCATCCCTACAAGTTTGGGGTTGCTGGTGAAACTGAAATGGCTCGATGTGTCCATCAATGGGCTCACAGGAAGGATTCCAAATAGCCTATTGGGGATTGAAGGGCTCAGACACGCAAGCTTCAGGGCAAACAGGTTATGCGGAGAGATCCCACAAGGGAGACCATTCAACATTTTCCCTGCAGCTGCTTACGTGCACAATCTGTGCTTATGTGGCAAGCCAATGCCACCTTGCAGGGGCAGGGGAAAGAAACAAGAAGCAAATATGATGAACCAGTAAGAGGCTGACACAGACTTGAGAAAATATGAGCATTTTCATTGATATTACATGTAATATACAAAACAGCACGTAGGACAATCTCCTGCAAAAGCCAAGATCCAAGATCCATAAAAGATAGTCACTTAGTATCTATTTATCATATTCACTTTTAACTTAAGAAGCCTCATCTGTTTACATACCTAGAATAGAAAATGTACGTTCTTTCCTTTGTTAAGCTTATGCTTAAACATCCAAATTAAAGAGCATTGTGCATTAATCATTTGCTTCAGAAAGTGCCTCTCAACAAAAACAAGAATCGAGACCACCAACTAATACATAAACTCAGATAGATTGCAGAATAAGAAGTGGAATGAATCGAATGATATTTTCAATGCACTTTGTAATTTGAAATGATACCGCAAGTAAGCACTAGGCAATTCATGTTTCAACGTACACCAACCAATTATAACACAAACACAAATGGAATTGAAATGCTCAACCACTAGATTTGCATTCACAAGTCCACCAAGAAAAAAGGATGCTCATGAATCAATCAAGAACGATATATATTATAACTAGTTTCAGGAAAGCTGTAGATAGCTCAGATACAACCAGCCTCAGAATTTACAAGAATCCATAAACATGCATCAGACTCATTCCCTCCAAACAGAGAGGAACATACAACTTTCTATGAAAAGGTTTGTCAAACTAGACTAATACTAGTACGCTAGTACTACTCCTCATCACCATCAGATATTTCTTCCTCCCCTTCCTTCTCTGAAGCTTCTTTCTCCAAAACCCCATCAGCTGTTCCACCCTGAATTTCCACAAAGAAAAACCAATATTTAGAGAGAGCTAAAATAACAACAATAATAATAACACATTCAACAACTACAATGAACAAGTCTTACATCGCCATCTCCTGCAATGTCACTCTCCAGTGCTCTTTTGTACTCTTGTTTAAGCTCAGCAGCTTTATCCACATAGGGCTTCTTCTCCTGAACACATTTTACATCAGACACAAGAGGAAAATAGGATCAGACAAAGTCTAATTACCATTTCCTGTCCACAGGATTAGATTGAAGGTCACGACCAAAACCAAAAAGAAGAAAAGACAAATGAATGCAAATACAAACCTCATCAGCATATTATACAATAATGGAGTGCTGAAGTTGATGACACTATATACCATCTTAACACCTTTGGAATCAGGATTAGCTTCCTTGTAGGATTTTCTGAAATCATCCCTGCAAAAAAACAAAAAAAATCCCCAATTGACCTCAAACAGCGTCTCACGCAAAACGGACATCATTCAAATCCGCAGCAGATACTGCAGTTGTACATCATTGATAACATGTAAGAGAAACAGAAACAACAGGTGAGAGGAGAGTTACAGGAAGAGGAAGAAGGCAGTGAGAGGGCGCTTGGGTGCATTTGGATCTTTGTCCTTCTTGGCTCTCTTTGACATCTTTGGTTGTGATGTGGCGGTAGTGAACTTCTTTCTGCAAATAAAAAAAAAGTTGAAAGAAAGATGTGATACATAATAAATCTCACAACAAAGTGACAAGTGAAACGGAAGAGGAGAATGAGAAGTAATTACCTCTGAGTCTCAGTGGGAGGCTTCTTTTTCACTTCAGGGGGCCTTTCCACAACTTGAGCCTCTGGAAACTCATCCCATTTCCCAATTCCCAATTCCCAAACAAAGGAAAATCAGATATGCTACTCTCATTTCTCAAGATAAGTAGAATAAAAATTACACAGAAGATAAATAAGGCAAAAAAAGAAAAATAGCGGCAACCAATTACGCACTGAGATTGAGCTTGATTTTGGCATCGAGGCTACAGCTGTGCATGGTGATGAGTGCCACTGGCACGTCCTTGTTGCACTCATCGCTGCAATTTATCACCCATATTTAACTCAATTATTCAACACAAACACTACTTCAAGACTTAGGAGCAGCCTCTCCATAAATGGGGGTAAAGTTAGCCGACATTCACCTCTCCCAGACCCTGCGTAAAGCGAGAGCCTTGTGCACTGAGTACGATCTTTATTCAACACAAACACTACACATCTAATAGACTAATGCATAGGCCCTAAATCCAGAAGAATATAACAAAGGAGAAAAGCAAAAGGATGGGGAGGGGTTTAGGGTAGCAAACCATCGGGCAAAGGCACTGCCATCCTTGCCACGAACGAGAGAAAGCGGTGGTGCTGTTGACATTGACAAGGAGTTCTCCTCAGTCTCAGTGGCCTCCACTCTCTTCCTTGCCTTGGTTGGGTTCGATTTCATTGACCCTCCTCCCATTTCTCTCTTCTTTTTCTTTTTTTTTTTCTTCTTCTATGAAAATAAAATGAAACTATGAAAGGAACTGAGCGGAACGAATACTAATATATATTCATATAAAAATGTTTGAGTTTGAACTTTGATGAAAACACGAGGGAAAATTTTAGAATCCCCGCCCGCCAGATTTCGTTATCATCCATGTTTGTTTCCTGTAGCTTTCCCCAAATTTTGACGCTCTAGATTTAACGCCTCTTGTGCTTCCTTTTTTCGGTCGAGTCTCTTATGCTTTCTAATATGTACATGTACCCCCGTGATCTCAGCCCATTCTCTTTTAATACTGGGCTCACAGTTTGGCCTGCAGTTAAGCCTGACCGGAGCTCGACCATCCTCCCAAATGGCCGGATCGGAGTCCAAGCAAGCTGGCCTGGGCCTCTTGATTGAAACCCAGACCCGGCCCAATTCTGAGGCCTAGCGGACCGTTTTTTTGTTTTTTTTAATCCGAGTGTTAGTTGAGTTGTGAATCAATGTATTTCCTTGTTCTAGGAAGGAAGGAACCAAGCAAACATGGTTATACTTGTCCACTCTCCATCCAACTGTCTCTGGTACTCGTACAAGTAAGAAGAAGTGAGAAGAATGAAGAAAGAAGGTGGCATTGCATGATAATTACTTCAAATTCCAGAGCACAAGAACTGCCCCACTAATTATCCTAAGAGAAATGCTAGTAAGACTCACTTTAAAAACGAGTTTGACAAAAACTTCTCATTTCACGTGTTTTCAGTTGTTCAACTAAATTTTTGTTACTAAAAATTATTATCTCATCTCAATTGAATACCGTGACCCTTTTGTATTTGTAAAATTAATTAAACAAATTGAGATGTTTCAAGAACATAATACTAATTATCCTCCACAGTAAATGAATTTGTTAAATGTGTTGAAGTGAAGATTCCTCCTTTTTTATATTAGTTAAATTTATTAATTTCCTACTTTTATTTTAATTTACATTTTAATTTTGGGGTTGATACTCTTCTATTCAAGATCTCTTCCATTGTCCATTGTTCTCGACGCAACAGTACTCTCTCTGTCTCCGCCTATCGCCTTCTCCCCTCGCCTGCGCTGCAAACCCTATAAACGAGTGTATGACAAGTGCAGTGACAATCGGCCATTGTAGCTTTTGCAGGTACGATTTCTCCTTTGTCCTCTGCATTTTAATGAGTAAAGTTTTGAACTTGATGACGAATTGAGCCACTGGAGCTGCCATCCACTGCATGTTCCATCTTTGCAATTCATCCTTTTCCTCTGGGTTTAACTTAAATATTCTTGTTGGCTACCTTTCGTCTCTTCCAAATTTGTTCCAGTCGTTCAATTCAAAGGTTTCTTTGGAGTTTTTTTATTTAATTTTTATAATTTGGTAGGATGTTATGAGAATTTTGTAAGCAAAGTCCTATTTGGAGACGAGAGGGTCAAGTTAATCAGGTCTTTGCGAATTGTGATAATACGATTCCAAAGTTTTGTGCTTATGAGGTTAGATTTTTCCATAGTTTTGTGCTTTTGAGGTTAGATTTACTAGCAACATCAAGTTTCAATAGAAAAGCTTTATCCTTTTGGTATAGGTTTACTATCAACATCAGGGTTCCCTAGTAAGCAAGCAGTCTACCACCTCTTTTGCTGAGTTCCTGCTTGGAAACTTCACCCCGAGATAATGCAGAAAAATTTACTTCAATTTTATGATGGTCAATCAAATGATCAGTTAAACTTGAATCCGATGATTATCAAGGGTCAATCAAATTACTCATGTCGACTGCCTAAGTATTAGCACATATACATTGGTATACGTTATACCCATATGAAGTCAAGTGATAAATTCTTTTTCACTGGCTTGCATTGTTTGGTGAAATCTTTTTCATCCTTAATCAGAACAATCAACCTACTTTTGTTATATGCTTTTGTTTTGTACTGTAGTTATTGTATATATAAAATGTATTTCAATTCCCTGATAAGCTTATGAACCTTCCTTTTTGCCTCTTTTTTTTGTGCACTTCAAAATAATCTGCTCAACTTATAAATCTTCTGTTTTTTGAGGAAGGGGGATGCCCTTTCCTTAGATGTTTGGTCATGCGGATCATCTTTATGATTTCTTTGATTCAACTTGGAGACGTTGCTCTTTTTTAAGTGGATGGATTGGCAGTTTAATCTCAAAATACTGCACGGACGTGGTGAGTCACTTTAAATTTTAGTAAAACCTGTTGCTCCTCTGTTTATAAACTTTATATTGCTGCACCAAGAGATTTTAAAAATCCTTCACAATTTCAGATTGGGTTACCTGCAAGGAATTCACTTTCTAAGTTGGCTGAAGAAAGGGAAACTCAATTTTCAACCTTCATGGCTCAAAGGGAATTTATAGATATTAGTTCATCGGATAGTGAATTAGAGATAGAAGAAAGGGAATATGGCAACAGCAGAGTTCTTCCAAGCTCGCTCTCTGGTCCTGGCTCAAATCCAAGGAGTAGAGGTTAGATTGGGTTTTGTATTTTAATGGCCTCCCTAAGTTTAGAAGAAGTTGTATGTATTATTAATTACATGACAATCGGTGAAATTTGCAGATTATTCTGGGCAGTCTAGAAAGGTGCCTTCTCCTAGAAGAGCATATGCTTCTAATGGCAACTCTCCTAATATTAATCAGCACACACAGGTGAAACAGAATTTTAATCCCAGTTCAAGTGATGATATGAGAACCTCAAATCAACATGCTACTCGAGCACATAATGGTTATGCGGAACGGCCTCAGAGTAATCATTCACAAATTTATAATATTTCTGTTAAGGACTATGAAGCTCATAAGAGGACCCTTCCGCCGTCTATGCAGCTATTGGCACCAAGTACTTATGCAACCAATGGCAAGGGCCTTATGAGAGACTATTCAAGTAGGGGCTATGACAACGAATTTAATAGGTCTGAGAGCAGTGGGAGTAGGGGCCAGCCTCCCTCTTTCATGCATGGAAAGTCATTTTCTACTTCACAGTTTGCTAGTTCAAATGACCCTGCATACCATGGTGGGACAGGTGACGATAGGGTGGCTGGCAGTGATGAGAGACTGATATATCAAGCGGCATTAGAGGTATTTCCGTACCATTTCTAACATTGTTCCATTGCTATTGTTGGTGTGGTACGCAATTTAGTCTTGATTTCTTTGTGAGGTTCAGTAAAAGAAAAATTATCAGGGATTGAACATTTGTGAAGAAACCTTGACACGTTCAGAAACCCAAAAGGGGCCAAAACCATGTATTGTGCAAAATGAATTTTGTTCAGTAGTCTTTTGGTAAGAAAGAATTAATTTCAAGGTACGAATCTTTGGGGCCAAAACCAGTTTGAAAGGGAACAAGTATGTCCCTTTCTCATGTTGTGCTAGTAATAAAAAATAGCTATAGTCATCTTTCCTTCCATGTTGTCGTAATTATACAGAGAGATGGTGGGTTTATGCTATTTCTTAAAGTTGTTGAGGAATTTATGGGTAAGACAGATCTCATTAATTGCGATTGTACCAGGGGTAGCAAGTAAAATCTTAACAGGATTGGTCCTAGATATTGTTGTCATAGTTGCAGTCTTGCACAGCAAGGAATCCTCGTTAAAGGAAGTTTGGTTCTTGCAGGATCTCAATCAACCAAAAGTTGAAGCTACTTTACCTGATGGTCTTCTGTCGGTCCCTCTTCTACGACATCAGGTTTTTCTCTCTTTTTATAATTATTGGTTTCATCATTCTCTTGAATTCATCATTTTCATGAACTCAAGTTAAGTTTATGCCCATAGAAAATTGCTCTAGCATGGATGCTTCAAAAGGAAACTAGAAGTCTGCATTGTCTAGGTGGAATCTTAGCAGATGATCAGGTTATTCAATAACTTCTGACCTCTAAATCGACGCTTAATGTTCATATTTATGCGCTACTTATATTCATAATGCTTTTATCTTACAGGGCCTTGGTAAGACCATTTCAATGATTTCCCTTATACAAATGCAGAAGTTTTTGGATTCAAAATCAAAATCTAGAGAGTTAGGCAATCAGAAAACTGAAGCTTTAAATTTGGATGATGATGAGGACAATCCCAACGGTGGTTTGGATAAATTGAATAAAACTGAGCAACCTGATCATCTTCTATCAATTCCAGAAGTTAGTACATCTTCACGGTCCATCAGAAAGCAGAGGCCAGCAGCGGGTACATTGGTTGTGTGTCCAGCAAGTGTTCTTCGACAGTGGGCTAGGGAGCTGGATGAAAAGGTTGCAGAGGAAGCAAAGCTGCGTGTCCTTATTTATCATGGTGGCAGCCGGACGAAGAATCCTGAAGAACTGGCTAGCTATGACGTGATTCTCACAACATATGCTATTGTAACCAATGAAGTCCCAAAACAACCTTTAGTTGATGACGATGAGCCTGATGAGAAAAATGGGGAAACTTATGGAGTACATTCTGATTTTTCAAGTAATAAGAAGAGAAAAAAGGCTTCGGTTGTTAATAAGAAGGGAAAGAGGGGCAAAAAAGGAATTGACAGTTCATCTATTGATTGCGGTTCTGGTGCACTTGCAAAAGTGGGTTGGTTTAGGGTGATACTAGATGAAGCTCAGACGATTAAGAATCACAGAACTCAAGTGGCAAGAGCGTGTTGTAGCCTTCGAGCAAAAAGAAGGTGGTGTTTGTCTGGTACTCCTATACAAAATACAATTGATGATTTATACAGTTACTTCAGATTTCTTAGATATGACCCCTATGCTGTATATAAGTCATTTTACAGTACCATTAAGGTTCCAATATCGAGAAATTCAATCCAAGGTTATAAGAAGCTCCAGGCAGTTCTGAGGGCTATAATGTTGCGTCGAACAAAAGGTGAATATACTGTTCAGGTTATTTGATTTGCTTGATAGTTGGTGGATGTTTATATTTGTGCACTTTTAATAATCCATCAAGTTGGATGTCTTACACATGAGGCTTTGCTTTCTCATATTGAACTAGGCAACCACTTTCTTTGAGTTTCAGAATTCCATATTGAGAAAGGGGGATATTTTCTGGCTGAGAAATATTGGCAAAAATAGTATGGTCTT